TTTTAAAAAAAAGGGCCCCCGTTCGGGGGTGGTCCCCCTCAAACCCCAACAGGGGACCCCCCCAGAGGGTTTAGAGAAGCACTGGAGCCCTTTTTACCCCTAAAAAAGAGAGAACCTGGGGGAGACCCCCCCCCCCTTTAGGCCCCCCCCTTGGGGGCCAGGGGGGGGGTAAGTAAAAGCCCCCCCCCCCCCCCCTCCCGACCGTCCGCCCGGCCCGCCCAGCAACAGGCGGGTTCAGCTCGATCGCGCAGATGGAGAAAGACGCTCGGCTCGTCTTCTTCGTGCGCGGCGACAAAGGCTTCCCATGGCTAGGCGGCACTCCCCCCTCGGCGCAGACCGGGAGACACGCGGACACCCCCCCGCCTTCCCCTTCCCGGCGGCGGATACAGGAGGGAATGGGAGGGAGGGGGCTTTTGGAGGGAACCAAACCTGGCACACCTGTGGGAGGCCCTCGAGGCTCAGCCACAGCTAGCGAATAGAGAGAGGCGCGCGAGAGCATTGGAGGTCTGTGAGGAGGCAGGAGTCAGAGAGCGCAACACCTCATTCCTCGACGCACCGCCGGCGCGCCGGGGCCCGCATGGACACGATGTATCGGCCCTTGCCCCCGCTCCCACAGGCACGCTCGAGCTGCGCAGCTTGCGCGTCGAGGCGAACGCGCTGGCGTGGTGGGACGTGTTTGACGGCGCCATCGACCTCGCCTTCAAGAAGGACGACCCGCCGCGCATCGCCTGGGACATCGAGGTTGCCCTCGGCCACGCGCGGCTGCCGCTCCCCGACTGCATCGAGGACACTTTCCTCGCGTGGCTCACCGGCACAGTGATGCGCTCCTTCAACCGCGCCTATCCGCTGCACATCGCCATCGACCCCGCGGGCGCATCCTCCTCCGAACGCGAGGAGCAGGACGGCGAGGCGGCCGGCGGCGAGGCTTGCTCCGCGCCCGCCCCGGCGGCGGTCGAGCTGCCGCCCATCAGCGAGGCGGAGCAGCGGGCGTACGACGGCCTCTTCAGCTCCGCCGCCAAGGGCTGCGCGACCGTGAGCCGCGCCGCGGCGGCGCCCGTCTTTGCGTCTGCGTCGGTGGGCGAGGGGGACGTGGACCACATCTGGGGGCTGTGCGTGTCGGCGCGCGGCTCCGACACGGCGGCCAGCCGGTCCGAGGACGAGCTGAGCTCAGCTGAGTTCGCGGCGGCGCTACACCTCGCCGCCGCCAAAGTGGGCGACCTCCTGCCCGGCGGGCTGCCTCTTAGCATGCCCGGCAGCCTCGCGCTGTACATCTCCGAGGCGGAGGAGGCGGCCGAGGCGGCCGAGGCGGCCGAGGCGGCCGAGGCGGCCGAGGCGCTGCGCAAAGACGCCGCTCGGCGGATGGCGCGCGCCGCGTCGTCGTCGCCGGTAGACTTGACATCGCGCTGAAGGCCGTCCGTGGACGCGGACGAGACGGGTCCTCACGGGACACGGGGTCGCGGGTCCAACCAAGGGAATTTTGAGGGAGAATTAGGGATGGGGGCAAGAGGGCGTGTAGGTAGGGATCAAAGCGTTTGTTTGCTTGTTGAGGCTTGAGAGCGTCTGTTTGTCCCTGTATCGCCGCTTTACTCGGCCGACGATGCGAATACGGAGACGTTTCCGATCAGCAAGCTGAAGCTCTGGCCGAAACGGACCCGAGTCAGCGTCTTCGCCAAAATCTTGCGCCCATCCACCTTGACGCCGTTCCGCGCGCCTGCGTCGAGCTGCACAAAGGTGATGTACTCCCATCGCGAGCTGTACGGTTGTTTTTGGTGTGTCGGATAGGAGATGTTCCTACTTGCCGCCTGCGAGTCGGCGTGTGCGGCTCTGTGCAGTACGTACGTCCCGCGCGCGAGCGAAACCCCGAGGGAACGAGATGTAACAGCGCCCTCTTTTTTCGCCTTCGCACACAAGACGCAGAGAGATCGGTCAAGGTGGCGCGCCGCCTCCGCACGCTCCAAGTCCAACGGCTCTCCAAGTCCACCAACACACCTTGCAGTACATTGTGGTTGGAATGGAATGGACGACACGAGATGTATTTTTGAGTATGCAACATGTGGGGCGCGAACACAGACACGCGTGGAGGATTAACTATTGCATGTCGCACCCCAATCGTGAAGCCCGTGAGCGGAGGGAGAGGGCGTGCGGCAGCCTGGCGACGTGAGCTCTAGCTAGGAAAGGAGGGCTCGACCTCCACAATGTCGAAGGTCACCTCGTTCCGCACTAGCCGGTGCGTGGTGCCGGTGGGGTGCATGTACGTGAGCGGCGGGTACAGGAACTCCTTCTCGTGCGGGAAGGCGGAGAAGTCCGAGATGTCGACGCCCGTATTCATGAACGTGGAGCTCTTGATGCAGAACAACAACGCGGTCTTGCCGGCGGCGGACGCGTAGCGCGCCGCAACCTCGAGCCGCGAGGTCGTCGAACAGCAGGCAAACTCGGTGCCGCCCATGGCGAGGAAGCGAGGCGAGGCGCGCATGTCTCCCATGCCCCGCCACAGGACAAGGCCCTGCTCCTGCGGCCTCGCCTGTGCACACGTAAAGATGTGAAGAGGCGCCGTTCACAAGACCGCAGGACGCACACCGTCGACCGGTTCCGCAGAGCGGGCAAACACGCGGCCGGCCGCCTGCAGCGCAATCGACCGCCACCCACCACCAGCGCCACCGCTCGGCGTCGCGGCCTCCAGGTCAGCCGACTCCTCGACAAGACGGTCCTCCCGCGCCCGCTGCAGCGTGCCGAGATCGAGGTTGCCGCTCTGAGAGCTGAGACTCTCCGCCAGCTCCTCCAGCTCCTTGCCACCGAGATCGACCATCGTCGCTGCCGCGAGGGCGCGCATCCGCTTGAGCGCCTCGTAGATGAACGCCATCGTCGCCTATTCCGCCGTCAAAGATGTGATGCGAGGACACAGCCGACTCAGAGCCAGCCACTGTTGGTCAGCGAGCGGGTCACCGGCTGCGGGTGCGGCGCCGCCAGCTGGGGAGGCTCGAGGGGGAGAGGGCGTCCGTCCTCTCCTTTGCGGTAGTTGCTCATTTTGAGCTGGCGCATCGGCCCGTTGAGCGCGCGGAAGGCGGCGGTCGAGTAGAGACGCAATGCGACCACGTGCGCCTCCTCCAGCCTCGCTCTGCGCGCCACAGGCAGCGCCACAAAGTCAGCGAGCCGCATGCCCTCGCGACCCTCGAGCGGTGAACCATTCGGGGCGCGGTCGCGTAGCCATCCGTTCTGGAAGGCGAGGTCGCTCGACCCGGCCGGCGCGTGGAGGATGTAGCGCAGGTTCTCGAGCACCGCCGGGTCCCCGAGCGCCTCGGCCTCCTGGACGATCGCGGCGGTGCCCTCTCGCATCCGATCGTGTAGGAAGTGCTCCGAATAGCCGATGATCCCGTAAAGCCCCGTAGCTGCCTCCTATTCCATCGTGTGTGCGTGTGTGATAAGATAAGAGCTCAAAACATGTAGCGAGCGGCCCGAGACGTAGCCCGCCTCGGGTTGTCCGGTAATGAGCTCCTTGGCGGAGCCGGCGAAGCGGTCGGCAATTCGCTCTGTGGCGAGCGTCAGGAGGCCGTCGACGTTGCGGTTCGCCGCGCCGCACCACCCAGACGACGCAAGGCGGCGGCCACCAGGGATGGCCTTTGGCCCCGCAGGCAAGAGGGAGAGGACAGCGACGAGCAGGCTGACGCAGCCCTGCGCAAGCAGCGTCCATGCGATGAACGGTATGTTTCGCGGCGTAAGCGTGTGGGCGAGGATGCTGCAGACTTTGCCACGGTACTCGTACAAGAAATAGCCGGTGTCGGTGGAGTCGACTGCGTCATCTGGAAAATTGCTCAGGAGCTGGCGGCATGTGCTGACAAAGACCTCATCTGGGGAACCGCTTACTGACCCTATCTTGTACAGGCTTTCGTACTCGCCATGACCAATCAGGCTCCAGCTCGCAATGAGCCATGCGCCGTAGATCAAGCCGCTCACACTCGCGACAGATAGCCAGTACCGCCGCGAGGCTCTCGAGGTGATCCAGAGCTCGCAGCTCGTCTTGTGAGCAAGCGGCAGCACGGCGGCAAGGGCAACAAAGGCAGGAAGCCAAGGGACGAGAGCGAGGGCCAGAAGCAGAAGCGTGAAAGCGAGCCATCTTGCCTGGCGAACGGCCTTGCGAACCTCCGGCTCGTCAAATCGGCTCTGCTTTTGCTCCACCTCAATCTCGCTCAAGGCGCCCTCCAACTCTAGCAGCAGCTTTGCCCGTCTAAAAGCCCTCCTCCTCGCCACGGCACCGGCGGGCAATAGCAGTGCAGGCACCCAGGCCGGCAGCAGCCAGAGAAGCATCCAGATGACGTCGAGGCTGCTCCACGGAGGCGGTGATTGCACGCTCCACTCGGGATCCAGCACTCGCAGCGCCGCGATGCTCGTGACTTCGCTAGCTACCATGAATGGAGCGATGTTGAGGTACTCCCCCGCGGCTGGTCCTTCTGGCGGGTAGCAAACGGCTCGCGCAAAATTTGCACATTCGATCTGATCCGCAGCAGTTTCGTTGAAGCACACCTTGTCAACAATGTTGCCACAGAAACGACTGAGCCAAGACTGAGAGCCTTTTGCAAGATCGACAAAGTCGAGGACCGTGACAGAATATACTGTGGTCCGTCCCGCCGCTTTACCTTCGCTGCCGACAAGACTACTGCTGCCGCTCGTTCCGACTACAACTTGAGAGGTAGCCGTAGACGTCTTTGGGAGAATTCGTAGCAAGTCGCCGGAGTTGCAAAACGTCTCGAAGCAGATTTTGTTGCTCTGATTAATCCTATCAAAGTTCGGCAAGTCGCAACCATCGGCAGGAGAGACCAACAGTTGGGGACGGACAAAGTCAAAGAAGGGGGACCAACCTGGACCAACCAAATACTGTCGGAGCGAGTCGGCATCGGGGAGGTAGCGACGAGTTGCCACAACGCACATGGACAGCACCGCCTTGACCTCTGGTGGCAGCGGCGGAGTTGGCGGAGGAGGTGGCTGAGAGGGTGCCAGCGTCAGGTTGCGTTCCGTGTAAGACAGGCCACAGAAAACCTGCCAGGTGGCCGTGCCCAGCGGCGGCGAGGAGGAGTCGTCAGAGTAAAAGCGGGCATAAGGAACATTCCAGTTCCACACGGCCCAGCCGAGATTTACAGTGCTGTATTGTACGAACGACGTGCCGCGCGAAGTGTCGCGGTACAAGAAAGAACCCAAAGCGGTGCGGCTTTCAGCAACGTACTCCAGCTTGTCGAGATCGCGTCGCGAGGGGCAGTAGCCGGTGATGACGAACCGCATTTTAAGCGGCAGCAAGGGAGGCGTTGGAGGAGGCGGCGGCAACAGCAGCGATGGCAGCTGCGGCGGCGACGGGGCTTCCGAAGCAGCAGCGGCAGCGGCAGCGGAGAGCGGCAGTAGCGCCATGGTGGAGAGAGCGGCCAGCGAGGACAGCGACGGCGAGAGTAGCGCCATTGCGGAGAGGGCGACCAGCGACGGCGACCAGCTGCGGCGAGCAAAGGCGGCGGGGGGGCGGAGAGGCAGTAAGCAATCGTTGGACGAAGGAAGAAAAACGAAACCTCTGCGCAATCGGAGGAAAAATTTGTGAAGGGACCGCACTGGCGCTCCTTCACACACACGCGCGCGCGCGCGCGCGCGCACACACACACAACACACACACACGCGCGCGCGCGCACACACACACAAGAAATCACGACTCTCACAGTGATTTGGGCTCGGCAGCTTGTCAGCCCTCAGCCGAAGCTGGGGCCGGTCCCGTAGCCGAGAGAGCCCGCGCCGATGAATGAGTTCGACGCGGTCGGGGGGGCCTGCGGAGAGGCCAGCGAGGTGGCGATCGCTGTACTTCATGGTGTCATCAAGTGACTGGCTGACTCGCCAGAGGTCGATACTCTGGACGACCCATAGGATGCCACGAATGCCTGAAGGAGAGGGAGGCGAGGCCAGAGGCAGGCTCAGCTGCTCTCGGGTGATCTCACTTTGGTGGCTGAAGGACCCGATGGTCCTGTCACATTCGCGTTCCGAGTCGTGGGGGTAGAAGAATTCGAGGTAGAATCGAGTCAGCACTTCCTTGTAGTACAGCGGACCGCCAGGCTCGCCGGCAGCATCCGCAGGGAGGCAGCATATGAGGCACCAGTCTTCTGAAGAGCTCAACAGCTGCGGCCGCGATGGTAGAGTCGGCCGCGGTTCGAGCGAGCAGCTTTTGGCTGCGGGATCGAATCGCGGAAGGCTCATGCCCTCGCGGAGCGACGCGGGTCGCGCGGCGCGCGCGTGTGCGAAATGCGACAACAGACGACAGACGACAGACGCCTGAGCGCTGTCGACTGAACGACCGTCGCCGCAAACGCCACCGCCGCCATTTTGACGAGCAGCGCGAGCGCGCTCGTCGGCGGCCAGCCGTCGCGGGCCGGGCCGAGCCCGGCCTCGACCGGCCGCGCCGCCGCAGCAGGCCGGGAGGCCCGAATGGCGGCCGACCAGCTGATATGGACTCTAAAATCTCTCTCTCTCTCTCTCTCTCTCTCACACACACACACCTTACCCTGCCTCAACTACTCGAAGTACGTCGGTACAACAGGCAACGCTGTATGTGGACTGCTGAAAATGTCAGCGTCGGCCACCGTCACGGACGAATGCTGGGGCCACTGCCGTGGTGGCGGCCACCCGCACCGCTCCCGCTGCCGACGTGGTCGCCCCCGCCCCTGTGTCGCGAGGGACTGGCAGAGGCTTTGGAGAGCGCCGTGGAGGCAGCGGCGGGCTTTCCTTTGAGGCCTCGGTTGCCCTCACTTGGGACTTTAAGCGTCGGGTCCAGCTCGTCCGCTCGCCCACCATCCTGGTAGTGCTTCCACACTGCGTCGCACGCCGGGTCGCCGTAGTCGCCGTGCGACGGGCTGGCCTCGAGCTGCGAGGGAGGGCAGAGCAGGTGGAGCGGAAGGCGCACGCGCAGGCGAGGCGGAGCGCCGCGTCGGACGCGCTGCTCTCCAGCGTGCGCGGCGACCTCGCCTTCAACAAGCAGCTCAACGAGCAGCTCGTCGCCAACCAGGCCGCGCTCGGTGGCACCACGCCCGCCACAAAGAGGCCGCACGAGTCGGTGACGGAGTCGGAACGGCGGCCCAAAATGGCACGCACGGGACTTGGCGGCGGCGGCAGCAGCTCTGGCGTGTCTGACGCAACTTGCCAGGATCGAGTCTGCCGCTGACACCCTCAAACCCTCGGCCCAGCTGCCTCGGCCCGGACGCTCTCAACTCTATTACAGCCGAGCGGCTGCGGAAAGCCGACACGCTTCTTTGGACGCTGCGGCAATCCTTCATGCAGCAGGAGGCGGCGAGGAAGGAGGCTGCGGCTGCGCGTCACACCGACGACACCTTTCTCGGCAAAGACGGTCGTCCCCGCGTCCGGCTCGAGCTCGACATCGTGGAGGAGATCATGCTTCAGCTCTCTCCCAAGGTCATGGCCGTCGCCGCACGCGTCAACCGGCACTTTCTGCAGGCCGTCGAGCGCGCGATTCCTGCGCGGCTGCGGCCCCCGCCGCCCCCGCCGAAGCCCGGCGAGCCGCAGCTGCCCAACGACCCGCGGCGGCGCAACCTCGGCCTCGCGGTCGATGCCGACAAGAAGGTGACGACGGAGCTGCTCTCGCAGCTGGAGAAGCAAGTGAAGCAGGTGCCAGCCCTACTCGAGCGGTCCGAGGTCGACGACCTCCGCAAGCTGGCGTCGTTTCACCACTCGACGACGAGAGGCTGCTGAAGACGCTCGTCAAGGTGGACTTGTCAGGACAGATGGCCTGGCGCATCGCGGTCAACGGGAAGCCAACACCTGCGTGGGCCCAGCGGAACAAGTCGGCAGTGGAGGCAGCATTGCGTGCAAGCGGCCCCTATTCGGATCCCATCCAAACTGACCTGTGCGTGTTGTTCCGCTTGATGCCCGCCTCTGTGGCCGAGGAGCACGTCGAGGGCATCGGCGCGGTTCTTGCGCGGATCGCGGAGAGGGGCTCCGGTTCGCATTTCCAGATCGGCATCCTGCTGGATCTCCTCGCAAAGCTGTCTTTACCAGCCCTCGTGGGCATCCGCGCCAAGATCGACGAGTGCCGGAGCGCATGTCTGGCAAACCACGCGCTCAACCACCTCGCGCCCAAGGTGCGAGCGCTCCTCGCCCAGGCCGACGGCGCGTCCATCTGAGCTACTTTATCCTTCGGGCACTTTCTTTGTTACTCTCTCCGAATCCTGTGTTTTTTTGTCATCGAGGATCGGCATCGGAGTTTGTTTTTTTTTGCGTGTGGTTGTGGTTGTGCATCTAGAGAGCCGTATTTTGTGGTGCGCGTTGCTTCTCAATTTCATGTCACGCGAACCTTGTGAATTCGAGTCCCTACCCCGGCTCGAACTCAAAAAGCGCGCGCAGTCCACGCCCTCTCCCGCCCGACCGCGGGCGGCGACAGGCGCGCACGGACACGGCCCCCCTGCGGCTGTGATCGCTAGCGAGGGGCAACGACGGATCGAAGCGCGCGCAAGCCGCAACAAATGCCGAGGCGCGTTGGGGTGCGATGCAACAAAAGCCCCGGCGCGTCCGCGGCGCCGCCGGCCCAGCTCAGTGCGGCGAGAGCTCATCCGTGGTGCGGCGGCGAGCTAGGCAGCAGCGCGGCGAGGACTGCCGACGCGGTGACCACTGCGCAGACGGCGCCCGCGTCGTTGAGGCAGACGAGCTGCGCCGCCTGAAAGGGAGGGGGGGGGGGGGGGGGCTTAATTGGCCGGGGGGGGGGGGGAAGTGCGTGTGCTCGTGTCTCGGGTAGGGGTGCTCGTGTCTCGGTTGATCTCGGGTGGGGTCGCTGCCTCGGGGTCGGCGAGGCGCGTGATCGCGGTGGCGACGGTGTCGCTGACGGCGCACGTCTGTACCCGGCTGTCCTTGGGCGGCAGCGAGCGGATGTGTCTAGGAAGTGTCTAGGAAGTGTCTAGGAAGAGTCTAGGCAAGTGTCTCGGCGCCTCCTCGAGAGGGATGGCGAGGTCGGTCGCCGGGTTGGACGCGAGCTGCCTGAGAGAAAGGAGGAGGCGGCGCCCTCACCGGGAGGGGGCGGCGAGCGCCGGTCGCCTCGGCTGCGAGGCCGCCTGATGTCGCGGCTCGAGAGGACGTCGAAGAGGGCTCCGCTTGCGTCGAGCACCGGCAGCGCGTGCAGCCGCTCGGCCGAGAGTAGGCCGAGCGCCTAGAGGCCGCGAGAGCTCGAGGACTGACCACAGCCGAGGCGTCGCCACCAGAGCGCCTCGAGGAGCGAAGCTAGCCCGGAGGTGTCTAGGAGGTGTCTAGGAGGTGTCTAGGGAGGTGTCCAGGAGCTGTCTGGGAGATGTCCGGGAGGAGTCTAGGGTGTCCAAGGAGGTGTCTAGGGAAGTCTAGGGAGCGTGTCTGCTGTCTGGCATCACGAGTCCGGTCGCCTCGAGGAGCGACGCATCGCGGCGGACAGTCTGCGGCTGGCGGCAGAGCGGCAGCATACTGATGGGGCACATCGACGCGCCGCTCTCGCAGGTGCAGAGCCCGCCCCGGCTCTCGCAGGTGCAGAGCCCGCCCCGCCGTGCCCGGCCTGGTGCCCCACGCCTCTGGCGCCCGAACCTCCAGCTCCTCCGGCGTGGTCGGCAGCCTGCACACCGCGAAGCAGTCCGCGAGCCGCTCCGTCATGTCAATGCGTCGGCAAAGGCGCCCCCCGCACCGCGGTGGAGGCGGGACGTGGGTAGAGCCGAATATAGGTAAGGGTGAAATAAATAACTAAATAAAACGGACACCTCTCTACTGTGAGGTGGGTAAAAAAAGGAAGGTAAAAGGGCATGTGGGCTGCGCGAAAGCACACCCACACGTGCGCGTGCCGTGTGTCGGCGAGTGGCACGCAGCCTGTCGTCTCGTGTGGCGTGCGCGGGTGCGGCGCCGCGCGCGGCGGAGCATCGACACGCGCGCGAGCAAGCGGCGCCTCCGCCTGATCGGTCTCGCGCCGAGGGGTGCGACAGGGCTAGAGGCTCTGTGACCCGGGGCGTGCCGTGGGGCGCTCGCGCGTGCACGCACGCCAGGCATGGTGGTGGAGTCGCCCACGCTGTCGAGGACAAAGGGTGCCCTAGCGACGTCTTGAAGCACGAGCACAAAGCATAATGCGAGGCGCAGCGACATTTCTGTTGCGCAACGACTCTGATGACCGGATGAGACTATGAGGCCAAACTATGAAAATAGCCGGGTTGCGTGCGCTAGTGGTGGCCTATCCCGTCCTGGCGGCGCGGTAAGAGCTGACCTGGATCCTGGTGCCGTCCGCGCCTGGCCCTCACTCCCCGTGGCAGAAGCCGCGCTGCCCCTCGGGCTCGCCCTCGAGCACCGGGTAGGGCCACGCGAGCGTCAGCTTGCGCACCCACAGCGGCGGCGGGCCGAGGAGCGCCAGCTCGCCCGGCTCGCACTCCGCCGCCGTCTCGCCCACCGGCAGCCAGCTGATGCGGCGAAGCACGGTGCACGTCCACTTGCCGCGCCCATCGAGCGCGACGCGCACGCGGCTCGGCACGGCCGCGTGGCCGCTGCCCACGCCGCTTCCGTCGCCCGTGTAGTCGGGCAGGTGGCTGTACTCGAGGTAGAACGGATCGTTCGCCGCGCGCGCATTGTGCAGCAGGCGGCGCAGCTCGCGCGCGGGCAGCGTGTACTTGACGAAGCTTGGCCCCGGCGCGTTCGGCGTCGCGAGGAAGGGCGCGATGATCACCGCGAACGCGGGCGAGAAGAGGCGCGCCGTGTGCCCCGCGGCGCGCATCACGCGCACGTCTGCCTCGGAGTGCAGCTGAAGCTCGCCCGGGAAGACTTCGTTCACGACCGTCGCGTTGCAGTCGTCGACGCGGTAAACGCCGCCGCCAAGGCCGAGCGAGGGCGGGTGGCCCTTCAGACGGCGCGGCAGCACGCCGAGCGGCAGAAAGTAGTGGTTGTTGGCGCCGTGCGACGAGCGGATGTTGGCAAACGGCTTGCTGGGGCCCTGGTCGGCGAGGCCGAGCGCGAGGAGCCCATAGCAGAAGACGATGCTCTCGGCCACGTGCCACTTCTTGTAGGTGGTACCGGCGGGAAGCGGTGCCGCCGAGCGGCTGCTCGCCGGCACGGTGCTCGCGTCGAGGTACAGCGCGCGCGCGAAGAGCATGAAGAGCGCGACGTAGATGGGCGTGCCGACGACACCGAGAGGATTGAGGTTGAGCGCGCCGGAGGCGGCCGCGACGGCCGCGCACGCGAGCTTGGCGGAGGCGCGCATCTCGTACGCGTCTTGCAGCGCGGCGGCCGTCGCGTGCGGGACGAGGAAGAAGAGGCGAACGAGGCACACGATCGAGTACTCGGTCACGTTGAGCGGCGCCGGCGTGAGTGAGATCATCAGATGCAGGAGCATCGCGAGGAAGACGCCGCAGCGCCGCAGCGTGGTCTGGGGCGGAGCGAGGAGACAAGCCGCGATAGAGAGCTCCACCACCAGCGTGAGCGCCGGCGCGGAAGCGGCAACGAAGGCGAGCAGCGCTTGCCCAGCGCGCGTGCCGAGCAGCACCGACTCGCCGACGAGGAGCCGGAGGTCCGTGGTGAGGTACATGGTGCCACACGAGCCGCGTGGGTCGAAGAAGTGCTCATTGGCCTTCCACATGGCCGAGCCGCTGTAGAAGAGCGACATGATGAGCGGCACGATCGCACACGCCTCCGCTAAAACTGCCGCACGCAGCTCCGCTCCCGCCTTTGCTGTCCGCGAGACGGCCAAAGCAGCAACTAGCACGACGAGGTCAGTGCGCACCGCCCAGTGATCCTCGTCCCACATGTACGGCAGCCGCCAAAGGTAGAGCACGACGACCATCGCGTGAGCCACGAGGATACGGTGCAACGATCCCGTCCTTGCCGCCCGAATCGCCAGGATGAGATTGATGAGGTACGCGATTGCGAGCAGCGGCTGGCCCTTGAGAGCATATCCTGGGCCATTGAGGATCGCCTGCTCGAGCTGCTGTAATAGCCAGATGCGTGCGTATGCGGTGAGTGGGTCCATTGCGACCGCCACCCTCAGCACGGCCGACGAGTGGCATGACAAAAGTGAGGGTACCCGGAATTGACCCTATTCTGACATAAACATTTTAAGGAGGGCCAGGCACACCCACAGTGGTCAACACGAGAACGCCGAAATCTGCTACCCTCCCGACCTCAGGTGAGCAGACCCGGATCGCAACTGCCGTGGGCTCCCGAGGACGTCTGGCGCCGAGTGCGTCTGGCACCGGGGACGGAAGCTCGCACTCGGCCGCACGCGATAGTGCTGCCGCGAGAGCGCCTGCCAGGTACGACATGTCTCGTGTAGACTCCTCCTGGGTCATGGTCGGTCATATCATGGTCGGTCATATGCAGGACGGCCAGAGTCGCCCACATCGCCTACGCGGTCCCGAGTGTGGTCAGGCTGATACACCGCGACTCAACGGTTGAGTGCGGCCAGCGCACACAAAAGTCGTCGACTGCGGCCTGGCGCGGTGATCATAGGTGCTGGAGACCAGGCAGTGTGAGCCTGTAACTGTGAACTCGGTACCTACATTCGCAGAGGCCCGGCAAGGATGGGATCTAGTAGAGTGCACTGAGACCGTGCTCCTCTATGAGAATTTTCGGCGCCGCCAGCTACTCGAGTACCCCATGTATCGTAGTCTTTGTTAGTATCGAGGTCTCCTGAGTTTTGGCACTGACCCGTCCACCATTGATGCCGTCCAACACCAAAGTCGTTCCCCCTCGAACACCAAAGTCGTTCCCCCCTCCCCCGTCCCCCTCGGACACGTCCCTCCCTGTCCTCTCGACTGCTTCCCTCTTTTACATACATAAATTCGCCCGACTCGCGGCGCGCCGAGCCAGGCCACGGCGCTCGGCCTGCTGAGAGAAGACCTTCCCCGACGGCAGTGACAATTTACCCGACATCAATCGTCGACGGCAAGCTCGAGAACTGCGCCTCCAAAGTCGCCCAGATTCGCCTCTCGCGGCGCGCTGAGTGAGTTAGTATCGCCGGTGCGCCAGCCGGCTCTGCTCCACAGCAGGGCATGCCTGACTGGCTCCTGCTAGCCGTGCGTCCTGGTGGCATCCATTGCCAGCTCAGGTAGCCTCAGGAGGTCGCCTCGCGCACAACTCGGCGCCGCACAGCACCGCTCCGCGTTACTACCGAGTTAGTATCGTCGACCCACAGAGACTGCTCTTCTGTAGGTGGAGCCGACAAACGCCGGCCGGGTCGGCCCCGCCGCCCCCATCGCCGCCGCCGGGGCGGCGGCGGCCTCGGCGGACCATCCGGCGCGCCGCGCGCCCGACGGGGAGGTGTTCACCACTCCTGGCTCCTCACCCCGCCACGCCTTCGTGCAGACGCCGTGGCACCCGCCTCAGGCGCCGCTCGGACTCGGTTGACGGCCGCCCAAGTGCTTGGCTCGTGCCCAGCCGACCGGCAGGCGATGCCCACTCGCTGCTAGGCTAATCCCGGGCTGTCAAGCGGCGGTGTGGTGCCGTGAAGGGCAGCGGTGCCAAAACTACGACTATTAGTACCGTGCGGAGGCAGTGCATTTAATTCTGTCAAAAATCGAAATGTGCTCCGTGGGACGTATTGGGCTAGGATCATACGTCCGGGAGGCCCCCCATGCGTGCCGCAACGACCCACAGTTCTGGTACCACTCTCTTCACGTTCACAGCTCTTAAGTGTGCCATAACTCCGATACATGGGGTATGAGAATGCGAGGAGAGTTGACGGAAATCGGAGGACGCGACCCACCTCGCCACAGACGGTCCCGTGCCTCGCCGCTATGACGGGGACACACCCCGCACCGTCCGCTGTGTCCCCGTCTTTGTCCGGAGTGAAAAGTCCAACGCGCTCGTCGGTGACGGCGTCCCCGGATTTCGCCGCGCTCGGCGAACCTCGACAGCGCTTTCGGTGGCATGCAGCTCTTTGCGCCTGAAGCCTGGAGAGCAGCTCCTCTGCTGCTCACACGCTCTGCACAGATGGCACAGCCTACTGTGCGGCTGCCACAGCTGTGACAGCGATGGGCTCGCCCTCACTGGCCCTCAGTCACTTGTGCTGTGGCTTGTGTGAGCGACACTGCTCGGCGACTGCCGGCACACTGTGAGACCGTGGGTGTGAGGTAAAACCACGCTACCAGCGCTTGGTCACATCGGCCCCGAGGTCAGATCCATCTACTCTGTTGATGACAAGACTTGTGTAATGGCTGGAGCCGAGCAGGAGGGCCCAGCGCACAACCCCTGGTCAACTCAGGGTCCACACCCCGTACGAACCTCGAGCGATCGTCTGGTCTCGTCCTCATTCTTGGGGCTGTGCCTTTTGTGGTGCTAGTTCGTGCCAGTCTGCTGTGAGAGGGGCTTGTATTCGTAGAATTCTTGGGGCTAGGATGGCATCACTTGTGACTTGAGGCAAACCCCGCTTTGCGACCTATTTGAGGCGGTGTAGGGCTGTAGCGGAACTTACAGGGCACGTGAACCTCTCCCGCCCGCCGCGTCTGCGTGGCCCGCCCGAGCCGCGGGGGTGGGCGCGCGCCCCTCCCGGCGGAGCTGGGTGGGTGCGGCAGACAGACAGACGGGCCCACGCGCCACGGGTCGGTTCCGGCCGATTCGGTTCGGGCCGTCCTGTCTAGTTCTTTTTTATGTTTAGTGCACCGGATGATTTTTTTCAGCCGTCTAATACAGATTGTAACGTGGCACAGGTGAAGGAGGCCGGGGACAACTTTCCCAACTACAATAATTAATTATCCAAATCATCACCAGACCTCCAGAGGACGGGCCGGGCGGCTGGGGCGGCTGGAGAACATGCTCGCTCGCGGCTGTCGCAGAGCGCTGTCGTCCAAATCGCTGACGCCAAAGGCCACCGTCGATATCCAGTTCTTCAGCATGGCAGGCAATGCCGGCAGCTGATCCTCGCCCAGCGACAAGAAAGTCGCAGAGCGTTTGGCGTCCACCCTGCGGTCAGAGTTTGAAGACTCACAACTCGAGGTGAGGCTGTCGAAACATGACACCTTCGGGCAATTCAAAGTGGTGCTAGAGAATACAGGTGAGGTGATTCACGAAAAGAGCGGGAAGATCGACTTCACCGAGACGCAGGGCTTGATGATGGTGTCCAAGATAGGAACGTGGTTGTATGAGCAGCGCAAGTAGGCCAGTCATTGGAATGCTTTCCACCGACATGACTCCGGGCGGGCAAAGCAGGCCCCACACCTACTCGGATGACGCGAGGAGAAAGGGCGACCAACTCACGAGCCGCATGCCTGAGATATCATCACATTGTGTCAGCAGTCATTTGTGTCGCTCACGTGCGTGTATGTTTGAGCTGCCTTTGCCTGTGTCCGTGGTGCTGCTGTTCGGACGTCAAACGATCAACCAGAAAGACCGCTTGTCTCGGCAGGACCCTTGTCTCGAGGACGGAGTTTAGGCTTGAGCAAAGCTCTCTCCCACAGTCTCGGTCCCCTCTCCACGCGCTGCGCGCGCTCTGGCCTCTACGAGGGGGTCGTGGCTCGTGCGCCTCCGCAGCCCGCGCTGCTTGCGCGATGCGGCTACGGTACAGCTCTACGTTAGCCAAGCGGGCCCCGCGGCTGCCCCGTGGACGTGGCGCGTCAGTGCTCCTCGACCTCGACGTGCGTAGTCTAGTGTGCGTTCGCCGTTCTCCCACACCTCCCCCCCCACACATTCGAACAAAGAAGAGGCGACGGGAGGAACCGGCAGAGGATGCAGTGACGTGAGACACACTCACTCACACACACACACACACACACACACACACACACACACACACACACACACACACACACACACACACACACACACACACACACACACACACACACACACACACACACACACACACACACACACACACACACACACACACACACACCCCACACACACACACACACACACACACACACACACACACACACAAGCTCACCCCCACGCGCACTGGGCCTTGCACTTTGAATGCCGTGGGGCTCCTGTCGTCAGACGTGGAGACGCGAGGGTTGCCCCCCCTTGCCCCACCACCTCGTGTGTGTGGAGAAGTTTACCTTACCTTACCTTAGTTACCTCCCCCCGGTCCCGCGCCGGGCGCCGCGGGAGACCGCGCGCGCGTCGCGACACGCGCGAGGTCTCGACCGTCGAGCGTGCGCGTCGTGCGCTCTACAGCTCTTTTGTAATTTTTAGAGCCGTAGGATTTAAAACTTTTAAAAAGAGATATTCACGTACTACTGACGTACTATATGACTAAAGCATTCGCTGTTGCGCGACTTGCGTGTTCGCGCGGACCGCGGACTATGGACTTATCTCTCACATCTCGACGCGCATCAACCTCTCTCTCGAGACTTTACTAGGGGGGCGCGGTGCTTCTCCAGCGCTACATAAATTAGACGGCGCGCGAGGGCAATGTCCTGCCCACGCGGTTCCTCGGCGCCCAGTTTGGCCCACTGCGCACGCCCCGCGTCCCGCGCAGAGGCGCGAGCAGCCTGCTGTCGCCGCCGCCGCCGCCGCCGCCGCTGCTCGAGCAGCGGGCCGTGCGCCGCGCGCGCCGTCATACTACCGAGAGCGGGTTGCAGTCTGTGGAGCACCTGGTAAGGGGCGCACGCGGGAGAGAGGGTGAGACGGGGCGCACGGGGTTGGCAAGCCTCCCTCGCTCACTTGAAGAGGACGTTCCAGTCCGAGTCTGCGAACTCGCTCTCGAGCTCCTGGGGAGGGGGGGGGGGTGGTCAACCCCCACCAGTAAATACTCCGCCCCACCTCGTGGTCGGCGGCGCCCTCACCCCTTGTAAGAACCGCGAGTGGGAAGGCGAGATGATCACGAGGATTTCCTGCTGCTGATCAATGCTGCCG